CCAGACTAAAGAGGACAAGGACAACCCAAGTTGTTATCAGCGCTCAGTTCAGAAGCCTGCATCTCTGATGGTATGGGGTTGCATGAGTGCGTGTGGCATGGGCAGCTTACACATCTGGAAAGGCACCATCAATGCTGAAAGGTATATCCAAGTTCTAGAACAACATATGCTCCCATCCAGACATCGTCTCTTTCAGGGAAGACCTTGTATTTTCCAACAAGACAATGCCAAACCACATACTGCATCAATTACAACATCATGGCTGCGTAGAAGAAGGATCCGGGTACTGAAATGGCCAGCCTGCAGTCCAGATCTTTCACCCATAGAAAACATTTGGCGCATCATAAAGAGAAAGATGCAACAAAGAAGACCTAAGACAGTTGAGCAGCTAGAAGCCTTTATTAGACAAGAATGGGACAACATTCCTATTCCTAAACTTGAGCAACTTGTCTCCTCTGTCCCCAGACGTTTGCAGACTGTTATTAAAAGAAGAGGGGATGCCACACAGTGGTAAAAATGGCCTTGTCCCAACTTTTTTGAGATGTGTTGATGCCATGAAATTTAAAATCAACTTATGTTTCCCTTAAAATTATGCATTTTCTCAGTTTAAACATTTGATATGTCATCTATGTTGTATTCTAAATATAATATTGAAATTTGAAACTTCCACATCATTGCATTCTGTTTTTATTCACAATTTGTACAGTGTCCCAACTTTTATGGAATTGGGTTTGTATTATTATTATTGCCACAGCCCATATACGAACACAGACAACAATTATTTTATCGACGGGCAAAGTTTGCACATAAATGTACGATTTTTCCGATCCTCACCGACCTTGTTATAAAACCCGTTTAATTGATAGTACGCGTCCTCCGCGCTCCTTGCTTTGTCGCCGACGGCCGTGGTGCGACACTGGTGGCTTGTGTTGCCAGATTGGGTGTTTTTTCGCTACATTTTAAGGCATGTTTACATGTGTTTTAGCCAGGTTTTCGCCTGGAAGGCTCTATAGAAATCTGGCACCCTACTGTACGAAGTTAAACACAGAGAGCGCACATTCACAGACACCAGAATGAACGTGTTCACAGTAATGTTCATCAGGCAGTAATATAGTACGTTGCCCAAAATATGAACGCATTCATGCACTATCGTTTATTGAACGCGGTCAGGCACAACACTGGGGAAGAGACTCGTCCGCAGCGGCCCTTAACAGTTCAGAAACGCGTTGGAGTTAGCGTGTATTGGCTAGCTACAGGTGCGTGCAATGACGTGCGGGTCGGATATATGTGTCCTGGCCATTCAGATTGAAGTCGCATTTCAAAAGATCAGATACATATTGGATTTGGACCACATACCCAAGTGGCCTGGGTCGCATTTGAAAAGATCGGATCTGTGTCGTTCAGACTGTCATGAAAAAATCAGATACAGGTCGCATAGGGGCAAAAAAATCGGAATTAGGTCGTTTCAGCCTGCAGTGTGAACGTAGCCTATCTCTTCATGCCTTAAAGTAGCTTGACTGAAACTTTACATATTTGCTTCATTTAGTATATGTGGACCCATTGATATGCAAATTAGTCCCTGCCTCCACTCACTCACACCGCTCGGACTAACTGATCCTGGTCTACTTTAGTAAACACTGCTACACAATGGCAATTCTGAAAATATTGGTTTAATTCAGTCATAAATGTTTGAAATAAAAACTGATTGAGAAGAAAAGGACCAGAATTATACAGTGTCGTCCACAAGTCGATGTATCAGAATGGTGATGCGTTTATGTGTCACTTTCTACAGCGTCGGACACATAGCGAAAAATTAATATGATTAGCCTTTGGCCAGACTACAGTATAAAATAGCTAATAATGTGTGTTGCTACTGTTACTCAAACTATGTTCTCATTTGCCGTCTCCAAGTCAGACCGCTGCCTTATAAAAATCAGTATTTTTAGAAACGTTTTAAACATCATAGAATGTCAGTGGAAAAAAGCCCCGCCCCACACATTTGACGGGATTGGTTACATGTTTTTGAGACTGTCTTTGGTACACTGCAGTTTTTAAGAGAAAATACTTTTGCCAAATTTGCAATTAAAAACACCACATAGACCACTGATCTGTAATGACTGGATTGCTCATTGCATTCTAAACTGTTAGGCAGTGAAGCTAACGGATGTGTTCGCACAGCCATTTTATTGTTCCCTACTGACAGACATTGACTTACAGCCAAAACATTCAGCTAACATCACTCGATTTACAACATCTCAGTCTCACAGGATTGTAAATGAATTGTAACTTCAGATGTTATCTGTAATGTTTATGGTCTTTTTGGAGAGGACAACTCGTATATTGAAATCATTTATAGGTGTGTCTACTGCACACTTTCGACAAAGGTAAGCGACCTACACAATAGAGCCCGACAGATAAAGGATTTTGAAGGCCGATACCGATACAAATATTTTTGGGTTTTAAAATCCGATATTCCGATATATCGGCCGATATTGTATTTTTTTATTTTTTTTTTAAACTGGACAGGATAGTCACAAATTTTGTCATGCTTATTTGAGTTAAGAGAACTGATGAGGATGTTCTTTTAATTGTTATTCAAGCAATGTATGTATCGTGCCCAACTCAACGAGTGTTGCCATCAGGAACGGTGTAGAGTGCCCTCTGGTGGAAAAACTATACAACTCCAACACTCATGACATGGTTCAAGCGTGTTGCGTCGGTTTTTATTTTATTTTTGAAATATTCATTTATCAGCCGTAATAACTGCCGATACCGATAGTTTTGAAAATGCCTAATATCGGCCGATAATATCGGTCTGCCGATATATCGGTCTAGCTCTACTACACAAATATATTTCCTTATATACATAATTATGAAGGAAATTGTATTTATGTACTAATTTTGTAAATGTGTTTTTCATGTATATACTTTATAACGTAATTATTCAATTTGATCAAGAACGTAAAGCAATGCCAAAGCTGTATATAGTAGCCAGTTAGTTTGATGCTCTTTTGTGTAAGACAAATGTGTATAAAGTTAAAAAAAAATAAAGGCTATGTAATCGCAGCAAACTTCAGCTGTTGTTATCAGTGTACGGTATGGTTGCCACATGTAGGCTACACCTAAAGAGTAAACTAATTTTTGTGAATAGATAAACGGTTGTTCACTATATCGATAAAGCGAATAACTTTAAAAAACATGTATTCAGTTAATTAAATGTTTAATCTGGAGAAAATTGTATCCCAAAAGCTAACAAACAGCAGTAGCATTTTCAAGTAACAACCTATCGAAATTCTTATATAATAACAGTTGAATAGAATAGAATGGAATAATAATAATTAAAAAAAAAAAAAAAAAAATTGGGGTTTCTGGGTCTGATTCTGGTTCAAACTTATATGGCAGTATCGACACCATTATTTACATTGACCGGAGCACATGACACATTCACCCGTAAAGGTAATGGGTTGAAGTTTCCGGACAACGTGCACTACGCAGTTTAGCCAATCACAACACACCGGCCCAACTAACCAATCTCAGCCCATTGCCTGTTTCTGAGGGAGTGGTTTCATAGTCAACCGGTCGTTCAAATGACGGAGGAGAAAGCAGCTTTCAATAAAGGTGAAATTTATGAAAAATAACTTTTAAAAAAAGAAAAAACACAAATATATGTTATTTTGCGCCTCATAAACACAATCATGCAAAGAAAAAAAGCAGTAAACCAACTCTTTACAATTCAAAGTTTACCATGCATCATCTTGGAAATAAAGCAGTCAGCTTTATTTGTCTGAATAAGTTTTGATGCATTTTGGTGTTTAATTGTTTGTGCTGCTCAACTTGAGTTAGTTTTGGGATGCGACTCACAATTATGTCTGGACTGCAAAGAAGAGAAGAAAGACATTGCAGAGGTAGAGTTGCCAGTATATGTTTAGCAATAATGAGGAAAGACATCACTCAGACAGACAGATAAGAATGGCTAAAACGACTCAGATCTCTGGCAGTTAACATGTAACTTTAGCCCCTGAAATCAAAAACATCCTAGCAGAGTTAACACTGAACCAGATTAGAAGACAGCTCTATCAAGCGTATCTTTGATTCCTGGGGCTGTAGGTGATCTCCTTTGAATGTCATGAGCGACCTTTGTGTACTTGTATGTAACATTGAAGTGCCCTCGGAGGTTCCAGCTCCAACACATCCCTGCAGAACTATCGCTTGCAGTCCCAGATGTTCTCACGAACAGCATATGACGCAAATGCAGTAGGTGCCAGGTCTTAATGGAAGCCTTTTATGTTTTCACTTTTTGTCAAGCCTTTCATTTGCACCTTAACCTGTAATTAATGTTTTTCGCACTCATGTCAGCTGCTGAAAGTGTTAGTGCACACCTACAGTCATTGAAAAGGGACGTTTTTTCAAAAGCTGTAAAAGTTAGGCAGGTATCGGATGCCTTGTTCTTAGAAAAAATAAACAACTCTCACAGTGCTTTTACACAAAAGCCTTTAGGTGTCGGTACTGCAACCGGCAATCCCAATAAACAGTTAATCACCCTGCTTCACATGTACACAACCCGGTGTGATATTAACACTTTATGAATGTATATCTATTACCGACCGACTGCATTAGTGACCAACAAAAATTCCCCTTTTTACATTTATTACCAAATTTATGCTTGGCCTCCATAAGGGAATTCCTTCACATTTTGTCACTTGAGAAGGACAAATAAAAACAGAGGTTGGAAGCAAAATCTTTAAATTCTTGTTTTTAAGCATTTTGTTTCCTGAAGATACCTTAAAAGCATTTTTGAAACTATTAGAAACCCACTTTGCCTCTGTATTGTGAATGTAAGCAAGTCACTTGGCTTCAGCTAGCTCCAAAATACACAAATACAAAGTTACATCCTTGTTATCAAGAATTGACATTCCTGAAAAACGTATTCAGTCTCATAAGAAGCCAATGTCATCACAACATCAGGTGCATGATCACTGTCCTCTTACTGTGTGCTACAGATATATAACCGCACTGACCGACTCTGAGGAAGAGGAAAGTGACGATGAACGAAAACCACTGCAGGAACCAGTGGATGAACTCATGCCTCTGTTGCAGAAAGCAGACCGACTGCACAGCTGTACCGGGGCTGAGAAAGCTCAAGGCCTGAATGCTCTGCTGGAGAGGAAAGAAGAGGTATGTAAACTTCCTTTTGAAAGTTCAGGGTTTATGTTTTGTGTGTGTGGGGGGGGGAATGCTTTTTTTCTGCAAAGGTGCATTGAATTTATCACAGGTGACAGTAAAGACATTTGTAATGTTACAAAAGATTTCTATTTCAAATAAATGGTATTCTTTTAACTTTCTATTCATCAGAGTATCTTGAAAAACATATATCACTGTTTCCACCAAAAATTGGACATTGATCATAATAATACATGTTTCTTGAGCACCGGTGTTTTAATTAGGGATGTAACGATTCACTCAACTCACGATGCGATACGATTCACGATACCGGTTTCACGATACGATTTTCTCACGATTTTTTTAACAAATGAGATTTAAGACAAATTATAAATGAAAAAGTGTCTCTTTTATTATTTCTCAGACAAAATGCTGCACATTTCTTTTTCATTTTGAAAAAATATTTGTCAAATAATAAAACTATATTGGAAAAAAAAATTCCCTTCAAGGTTGTTTCTGTCTGTCTGGTCAAGGGGCTGGTACCTTCGCACACTAACTAAGTAAAAGACTGTAAAATTAGTACCACATTGGCGTTTCACATTGTAATAAAGGAAAGATTTTAATTTGTTATAATTTGTATCATTAAACTAGAAAGAGTTAAAAACAGAACACATTTAGCAAAATATGCCATAACCATCAACAAAAAATGTATTATTTTTATTTAAAATTATTTTTTTCTATTTAAAAAATAAATAAATCCATGTACACATTTAGAGAAAGAGATAGTAAAATAAATACAACACATGGTTGCCATGGAAACACTGACGCACCTTGTGATCTCCGTAGGTCTCACACTTGTCGTATTAGTGACTTTTACGTGAAAACGGAGGTGATGTGCTTAATTAATTAGTGGTGGTGATTATTATTAGTCTATAAAGAGTCAAAATGCCGCCACAGCTCCGATTTGAATGATTCAACATCTGCGCTTGCCGTCACCATGAGTTTGACGGCGCGTGCACACAGTCTATGGCACACACTGGCGCGGCGCGAGCGGAGCAAACCAAGCATTTTCAGTTCATTACTATGTTTGTGCTCACACAAGCTCAAGTTCCTTAGGAATGAAGTGAAAACACTCGCTAGGTTCGCGGCAGTGTGTGCTCGCTGCTATTGAGCCTGTAAAGCGAGGTTCACAACTTCACCGTAAGCTAATCAGTAAACGTCCCTGTTGTTTAAAACGTGTATCGCGATTCGTTTAACATTTCAACCGACTTGAATCGTCACACATTTTTATCGATTTTCAACCAAGTGAATCGTTACATCCCTAATTATAATGATTGATGAAGGATCATGTCACACTAAAAACTGTAGTAATGCTGAAAATTAAGCTTTGCCATTATAGAAATAAATGACATTTTAAAGTAAACTCATATAGAAAACTGTTATTAGGGCCCAAGCCCTAATGGGTTTACGGTCATGTTGTGTTGCATGTTTTCCTGAGGTAAACCATTTTTTTTTCAACCTTTCCGGCATATTTGTGGCCCTTAAAGTAACACCAGGGAACTTTTGCTCTCGGGGTCCCCCTACAGTTTGGAAACAGTATTGTCCTCTACAACTGTCGTAAACTCTGTCATCCTACATGTACGTGCATTTGTTGACAACCATAATAGCCCTGAACACTGTAGGAGGAGGTCACATGCAGGTGTTCTGCTTGCGTTGCGTGTGAAATGTCTTCATCCCAGGTACAGTGGCATATATTTCAGCATGTCATATGAATATAATTTCATGGGTTTTATTTTTTTTTCTAACGACAAATGATCGCGATGCGCAAGCCAGCGTCATTATAGTAGCCTAGTCTATTAGTTACCGTTTTACTGAATCTATATGATACTTCAATGCAATGTTTGAGTGGTAGATAATAACCATATATCGTCAATATTATAATATCAAGCTACTATAAATGAATCTGCAAATTTTACAAATCGATTTGCTTTATAGCTTGAGGCAAGAAAAATAAAGGGAAATCACAGACATGTTAATAGGTATCCTAAAATATGATTTTGTACATCTTATATATTTACTTGCAACCATCAAAAACTGGAATATCGTTTTCTAGCTATTAGATTGATAATTCGCTACTCTACTATCATTACTTGATTGATGAAGATAAACGGAGGATAAGATAGCTTCCGTAACATAGTCAGGCAGACAAAAAAAAAAAGAAGAAAGAGATAGTATGCAAGCAATATACTTACTAGTTCAAAAGCATGACAGCCAAGTCCGCATCGGGACACGATGGGGCTCACGCCAGCGAGAAAACGCTGGCCCAATGTTGATCCTCATTCTGCCTTTAACGCGATCACTTTGTCTGTTTCTCTTTTTGCTTTGCTCCGATAAAACCTTTGCTTTCTTGGTTTTTTGTGCTGCTTTGGCCGTGACTATAACATTTGGCTCGCACGTCCGATTTTAAGGAAGTGGGGGTGGTGGTGGAAGTGACATGCCGCAAAGCAGTCGAATTTTGTAGTTCTCTTTGTTCGTGGGTTACTACCCAAACCCAAAGTTTAAAAGTACGATTAAAAACGCTACAGATCCCATCAGGCTATGGCAGACGTGCCATTCAACCTATTGTAAGTAAATGTACCATCACAAGAGACTTGGAAATATATTATGAAGGTTAAAAAGTTACCTGGTGTTACTTTAACATGCTCAAAAACTCCTGACACTTAACACACGGAATTATCAGACCCGAGCACAAGTTGATACGAGGGGGTCGTGGGGAGGCTCTGGTGTGCAACCTTTTATATGTGACCCCGGATCACAAAACCAGTCACAAGTGCCAACAATATTTTGTATGGGTCAAAATTATAGATTTTTCTTTTATGCCAAAAATCATTAGGATATTCCTAATGTGTGTGTGTATATATAATCTTAAAAAAAATATTTTTCTGCAAATGATGAAAATGAACTTAACATTCATTTTAAAGTGACCTATAACATGAAATTCACCTAAATGTAAATAATCTCATGGATGTGGCTGTTCATTCATGGTCATAGTGGCCCCAGCTGCTTCAGTCAATGTGACATATTTAGGACGATTTTGACATTTGTTTTACATTTGAAATAATATGTCGCAATATTAATGTTTTTACTGTTTTTTAATAAAATAAATGCAGTCTTGGTGAGCATAAGATACTTTAAAAAAAAAAAAAAAAAAAAAAAACAAACAAACAAAAAAAAAATTAAAATTCGTACTTGCACCAAACTTTGTAATAGTAGTGTTCTGGTTTATTAAGTTACACACACATCATGTATGTGCTTACAGTTTGATCAGAATGGGCAGTACCTTTGGCGGTTGTGTAGAGCCTATGCAGATGCACATGATTTTGCCATGGACGTTGCAGAGAAGAAGAGCTACGCTGAAAACGGTAATCACTGCTTTCATGATTACGGGTTGATATGTATTTATACACTGTAGACATTTGAATTGAGAATTGAATCTTGTGACATTATATTTAATGAAAATTAAACGTAACAAAATTGAGTCCTTGCTTTCAATTACCATTTAAATGTTATTGAATTATCATAATTTGTTGCGTTTTCTCATTCAATAAATTAGTTAATTAATTGCCAAATCAGAAGTAGATTAAAATAGTTACATAATTAACTAATTACTTTATTAGGCATCTTGACTTATTCATGAAAACACTCTTAATCCGGGTGTACTCTCCATCTCTGCCTTCGCTTTCTGTTCTTTTTTGTCCTCTCTCCTCGCTAATTAAATGTAACACAATATCAACTCAGTTCATGTTTGTATGGAGGGAAAGGATCAACTAGTTCAGTTTCTGATCCTTCTTTTCTGATCCTATTGTGATTTTAATTGCTGTCTTTAAATCCAGTCACTTCTCTCTATGAAAGCTTCATTAGCTATGTTTCCATCCAAAGTTGCAAATTTAACTTGTGTACAAAGATTTGAACCAAGCAAATTTATTTCTCAAAAATGGTTGACATACACACAAGTACCATCCCCCTTTACTCAACATAAACATGAATTGTACGAATATTTCTAACAATGATGAATAACAGTACAAGGTTCGGCTATTATTAGCAGCCCCAAACTAATATTTGCTAATACAAAACAGTGATCAACGAAATACAAAAACAGTGATAAACGAAAACAAAGTGGTATTTTGGAAACTACATTTGCCATGGTTCACTAATATGAACTGTTAATCAACATATATGGACACTGATCCTGATGAATAGAATGAACATCATACCTGCGTGTAAATCCTTCCCAGCATGACGTACCAGTTACATAAATTATTGGTACCTTTTGGTAATTTCATGACTTACTAAACGTAACTACAATATTGCATGCTGTTGATTTGCTCTTTACATATAGTGAAGTCATAAAGTTTGTTTTTCTATTTATTTTGTTACGACTGCCTGTCATAGAGATGTGCGATACACATAGTCTACGAAAATATCTTGATTGCTGTTTTAATGATGTGCAATCTTATACACTGTAAAAAATATTTTCAAGATTTGTTATCACAACACATTTTCTTTTGTCAAATCAACTTTATAATATTTATTTAGTTGAGATAACTTATTATTTTGAGTTTCTGATGGTTAAATTGATCTCCTTCATTGTATTAACTCACTTTTTCCAGTTCAATCAACTTAAAATTTTAAGGCAACCCAGGTTACTTACTTTTTTAAGTTAAACCAACAAAAAAAATTTACAGTGTAGTAATCACAACATTTTTTCTTTTGTCAAATCAACTTAAATAATTTGTTTTGTTCAGATAACATAATTTTGAGTTTATGATGGTTAAATTAATCTCCTTCATTGTATTAACTCACTTTTTCCAGTTCAATGAACTTAAAATTTTAAGGCAAATTTACTTTTTTAACTTAAACCATCAATATTTTTTTTACAGTGTAGTATTAAGTATGTCCCTCATATTAAGACTCACCTAGAGTGTGCACACATATAAGTAGGTTAGACTAGTGTGCTTGTGCAATTAGAGTCCACACTTCTACTGAGTGATTTAGTCTACTAAAATTTTAGAATGCCCCCAATATTCAAGATAAGGGGGCAAAAACACCTCTTTTATATTTATATCATTCAATATAGTTCATCAATATCACACGTAGATTGCTGTTTTTCTTCAAATATCGGCATGATTACAAATGTTGTATTGATTTTAGACAACAGTTCAATAAACAAGGAATTCATATTAAGTGACTTATGTTTAGACACAGTATTGCCTGTTTTTGCGCTATTATTTTGCGGATTGTTTTGCATCTTTGAGTAACACGCGGCGATGTTTCGTGAACGAATCAGTCGAATGATAGATTCAACGACTTACTCATTTAGAGTCAAATGCTTCGTGTCTCATTTCGAAGGCTGCGTCCTCCGGAGGTCGCATTTGTCGTGGGTGATGTCTTATTTCAGAACAGTAACCATTATAAAATTGAAACTTATTCCTAGTGAAGCATAAATTGTTGTCATTTCTTAATGACTTTGGAATGTAGTGGTCCGTATACTGAAACGAAGCAGCCTCAATGACGTATACAGCCTTCGAAATGAGACACGGCTTAAGACTCACTCTTTTTTATCATTTCATTTCAAATATCAAAATTATGTTTAAAACATCAAAACATTTATGCATTTGTAACTCATGTCCCCTCTGAGCTGCATTACACAGTCTGTATAAATACATCTAAATCTCACTTCAAATGCAGCTTCTGTGTTTCCTCTGCATTGCAAAGATGAATTTTGTTGATACTGATTTCATTTAATTTGTAACATTATAACATTGCATAATAATTTAATTTGATTAAATTTAAGAATTTGACACAAAATGTGATGCATACATTTATTTAGGTTTAAAAGTGGCTTTATAAAGGTACAAGTTAAAAATCAATTTAAACTTATTGGAAAAGATAATTTCAGTCACTGCTGCGAACTGACCACTGCACAGAATATGAAGGATATCATAAACTTTTGGAGTCAGCTGTACACAGCAGTCCTAAACACAATAAACACATTTAGCAAAATATCGAGATATCTTTTTTTTGGTCAATGTTTCACACCCCTAGCCTGTCATCATAGACTTTGGCTCATGTATTTGAGAATGATCAAACCAACATTCGAGATGCTATGCCATGAAATTGGTCTTCTGTTTATTCTAGTTATCCAATCTCATCCGTGTGAGTTTTTTGTTACACATAGAGGGATTTATTTGGTAAACGTGTTTCCATCGTAGTTTATGCACGTCGTCTTATTGGATTAAAAAAAAAATATCTGCCTTAATTTAGCTAATTTTTTTGCTAATTAATTTGACGTGCATTTTTTTAAATTTATGAGCATCTTGGCATTTCTATCCAGCATTTTTTTTTTTTTTTTGATACGATATCCCAAACTGCTCATAAAAATAGGTGGATGGAAAGAAACATAGCTAATGTCAGAGAGTTTGGAAGCAGATCAATTATTACTGCTATTTAAAGGGATACTCCACCGTTTTTTTCATATTAAACTATGTTATTCCCTTAACTAAGATGAGTTGATGCATACCTGTCTTGTCTCAGTGCGTGCACTCAATCGCTCTGGCACGCGAGACACTTTGATAGCATTTAACTAGCCCAGTTCATTCAATATGGGCCAAGCAGAGAAGCGACCAAACACCTCCACGTTTTCCCTATTTAAATACAGTTACACAAGTAGTGTAACTCCACCTAGGACAGTGACACAAAATAAAACATCGCGTTTTTCTAAGCGTGTAAAATGGATAACTATATTGTATGCAATAGATAAATATGCGCCGAGTCGAAGTGCTCCCAAGCACTTGCTGTGGTATTCTGCCATACAATATAGTTATCCACTTTACACGCTTAGAAAAGCGCAATGTTTTATTTTGTGTCACCGTCCTAGATCGAGTTACTATACGTTTGTAACTGTATTTAAATAGGGAAAATGTGGAGGTGTTTGTACACTTCTCTGCTTGGCCCATATTGAATGAACTGGGCAAGTGAAGTGCTATCAAAGTGTCCCGCGCGCCAGAGCGATTGAGTGCACGTACTGAGACGAGGTATGTATCAACTCGTCTTAGTTAAGGAATAGCATAGTTTAATATGAAAAATCGGTGGAGTTTCCCTTTAAACATTTAGATGAAGAACTGTATGTCTTGTTAGAGCAGGTAGAGCAAAAAGAAACTTTTCATTTAGTTTTATTTCGGCTTATAGGAGTGATAACAGATCGGATACTGCTGGAGTGTCACGTCTTGTTTATTTTGTTTGATTTTTCATTTCAGGAAAAAAAGTTGGCGAAGAGGCAATATCCATCAATCCACTGTGTGCAGAAGGTCATCAGTGGTGAGTTCATGTATTGAATTCATTTGTTGTCCAATTAGGCAGTTTTACATACATAATAATTTTACAACTGCGTGATTAAAGATTTTTTTTTTTTTACGTTTCGTAGCATTATGAGTGATCAAGACTTGTTTGTATCAATTTACAAATGATTCTCAAAAATAAATAAATAAATACAAAATAAGAGGGGTGAACAATATGAAGCAGTGTGTATGAAAACCAATCAATGGTAATCTTTATTTGGTTGCCAAGGTTGACTTCATTGCTCAGTTGCATTGTTTTTTAAGTGGTGCTTACTACATCGCCAAATGATGTCCATCTCCCCCTCTCTGGACGGAATGGGTGGAATTATATTCAGCGATTTATAGAAAAGGTTGGACTGTCTACTAGATCGACCCATTACGTGCAGTGAAGGGGAGCTGGATGGCAAGCTCCCACCCATTGCCTCCCACAACGTGGATCATGTACCTTTACCGCTCCAGCTTAGTCTTTTCCATATGCATTTTGTCCAGAGTAATGGGTTATTTAGTAATGTAAAGATTTACCCAAAAAAAAAAAAAAAAAAATATATATATATATATATATATATATATATATATAGTTTTTTGTTACATACTTGACTGATGGTTTCCCAGGGACCACATGCAGATGCGACTAATCATTAATCAAATTAGTTTCATTAATCAAATTATTTTCATTATCAATAATTATAGATTTTTATCGAGTAGTTGTTGCAACTCTACTGTTTTATGTTTCTTAACTTTCCCTCACCTATTTAAAATAATTAATTCCCATGCGTTTCCCAAACCTCTTACTGATAACTTTTTTTGTAGCATAGACTGTACTGTACGGAGCCCCTCTAGTCCCACTTTGGTAAAAACAATTAATTATAACTATCTTGTGGCCTCAAGATAGTAACTCGTGGCCACAAGATAGTAACTCGTGGCCTCAAGATAGTAACTCGTGGCCTCAAGATAGTAACTCGTGGCCTCAAGATAGTAACTCGTGGCCACAAGATACTAACTCGTGGCCTCAAGATAGTAACTCGTGGCCTCAAGATAGTAACTCGTGGCCTCAAGATAGTAACTCGTGGCCACAAGATAGTAACTCGTGGCCTCAAGATAGTAACTCGTGGCCACAAGATACTAACTCGTGGCCTCAAGATAGTAACTCGTGGCCTCAAGATACTAACTCGTGGCCTCAAGATAGTAACTCGTGGCCTCAAGATAGTAACTCGTGGCCTCAAGATAGTAACTCGTGGCCACAAGATAGTAACTCGTGGCCTCAAGATAGTAACTCGTGGCCACAAGATACTAACTCGTGGCCTCAAGATAGTAACTCGTGGCCTCAAGATACTAACTCGTGGCCTCAAGATAGTAACTCGTGGCCTCAAGATAGTAACTCGTGGCCTCAAGATAGTAACTCGTGGCCTCAAGATAGTAACTCGTGGCCACAAGATAGTAACTCGTGGCCTCAAGATAGTAACTCGTGGCCTCAAGATAGTAACTCGTGGCCACAAGATACTAACTCGTGGCCTCAAGATAGTAACTCGTGGCCTCAAGATAGTAACTCGTGGCCTCAAGATAGTAACTCGTGGCCACAAGATAGTAACTCGTGGCCTCAAGACAGTAACTCGTGGCCACAAGATACTAACTCGTGGCCTCAAGATAGTAACTCGTGGCCTCAAGATACTAACTCGTGGCCTCAAGATAGTAACTCGTGGCCTCAAGATAGTAACTCGTGGCCACAAGATAGTAACTCAATTTTCAATCGAGGCCACGAGTTACTATCTTGAGGCCACGAGTTACTATCTTGTGGCCACGAGTTACTATCTTGTGGCCACGAGTTACTATCTTGAGGCCACGAGTTACTATCTTGAGGCCACGAGTTACTATCTTGAGGCCACGAGTTACTATCTTGAGGCCACGAGTTACTATCTTGAGGCCACGAGTTACTATCTTAAGGCCACGAGTTACTATCTTGTGGCCACGAGTTACTATCTTGAGGCCACGAGTTACTATCTTGTGGCCACGAGTTAGTATCCTGTGGCCACGAGTTACTATCTTGAGGCCACAAGATAGTTATAATTATTTTTTTTTTTACCAAAGTGGGACTAGAGGGGCTCCGTAGTACTGTGCCATTCTATGGCCCTTTTTTTTTCTCTCAACAAATTCAATGTCCAAGTTGGATTCAAGATGTTTGCAGATCTGTCCCTCATAAGTGAAATATATTTACATACTTGTTTGTAGCACCTGGCCTCCTGTGTGGGTGTGTTTGTGGGTATCTGAATATTTGTGTGGGTGTGCTTGTATGTGGGTGTCCCGCATCTGATGGCAAGTTGCCTGTTAATTTTCTTTCATTTGAAAGCGGTTGACTGCAAGACAACTTTCTTTAGATCAGATCAGGTTTGGGTGCCTTTAGTTCTTTGTGAACTTTAATGGATTGACTGTTTAGAGTGGCCAATCAATTAAATACTGTAATATTCAGTGTTGCTGTGTCATAATCTTTGTGATCCGTTGTGTGTTTGTATTTGTTTTTTTTTAAAGGGTGTCTTAATGAAGGTATGTTTACTGTTCTCGGTATTTTGCCATTGTAAATCCCTTCACAATGCTTTCCGTTACCTCACAGATGCCAGGATTATCAAATAGAGCCCAGTGGAGAGTCGTTGTGGCGTGCGCACATACATCTCCATTACAGCTGCTTTTATGTGTCCTTGTCATTACAGTTGAGGATCTAGCCTTCAGCTCCTTTGAATTCTGTCCTTAGCACACTGCCATGACTCTGCTTGTTGTATTACATGATTTTTGTGTGTATTCATGAGCAGAACCAATTTCAGTGTAAATTACAGGTAAAAAATTTTACATTTAGTTATTTAAATTCAAATAGATGTGTACACTACTTTTCAAAAGTTTGTAAAAGTCATGAGTAATGAGTAAACATGAGTAAACATTATGAGTAAAGTCGGTAAGATTTTCTTTTCTTAAAGGGGGGGTTGACTGCTTTTTTTCTTTGCATGATTGTGTTTATGGGGTGCAATATAACATGTATTCGTGTTTTTTCGTTTTTAAAAAGTCTTATTTTTCATAAACTTCACGTTTATTGTCAGCCGCGCTCTCCTCTGTCCTCGAACGAGCGGTTGACTTCCTGAGTCTATGAAACCACTCCCTCAGAAACACGTAGTGGGCTCAGATTGGTTAGCTTGGCCCGATGTGTTGTGATTGGCTAAACTGTCGCTTACGTTGTCCGGAAAGTTAACGCCCATTACCGTTACGGGCACGTCATGAGCTCCGGTCCAGATGTAAATCAAGGGGGTAATCCATCGACCGGAAGTTGAAGCCTCGCGGGAGCTGACATCTTGTAGCAAAACTTCACTTGCGTTAGCATTCCCATTGACTCCCATTCATTTTGGCGTCACTTTGACAGCGAATAACTTTACATCTGAGGTGTTTGAAGACCTCATTTGTCCTTTATTTATTTCTAAAGAAACACGACAATGTATAAATAGCTCCATTACCTTGTAGCTTATGTTATGGCCCCGTAGAAGCAGTTTTAGTGAAAGTAGGCTAACGATTGCATCATACCCACGCGACTCTCTGTCGCACAGTAGAGAGAATACCGTATGGACAGGAGGAGAAGCTCGCGCGCAATCGGGGAAACGTGGAGGCAAAATGACAAAATAATTAATCAGAATACCTAGCAAAAGTGTCTCCTGCTCCTAGCTCATGGACAGCTCCTACTCACACTCTCTGCCTCTGCATGTTTCAGAAGGGAATGATTCAGATTTCTCATGCCACAGCCACTAGAAGACAGACGGGTTGCTCTCGTCACATTACGTAGTCAAGCTCTGTTTGAGTCTGCGCGTCAGGGACGGAAGTGCTAAAAAATCACAAAAAAAACGGGCTTCAATCGTCTCAATGGAGTTCCAATGAGATCACTCTGTCCATTTTTTTTACTGTCTATGATGTAAATATGCGTCGAACTGCAGTATCAGTATGACCCAGAATCAGACCGAGAAAGCCGTGATGAAGCGAGTCAAACAGAACCTCACCACACACTTAATAAACGTTTCTGAATGATAATTTGCTACATTTTTTAACTTTATACACGTTTCTTTAACACAATAGCATCTAACTGGCAACAATAGCAACTGACTGGCTACTAATGTTATACTCAAACAGCGGTGGCAAGTTTACGTTCTTGATCAAATCGAAAATAACGTCATAAAACATATATACATGAAAAATACATTTACAACATTAGCACTTATACAAAATTCATGTTTGTACGCGTTTGTTGTAGACACAAAATAGCATAACTAATAGCCTAGTGGCAATAAAGCTAGCGCTGGCATTTGAAAAAAACTAAAACACAAGGCTACGTCTGGAATTATATTATATGCAAATATATTTAAAATGGTTAAATCTTAGCCTACTTACAGGTTGTGGCCCAACAACTGCTGCCTCCAGTTTTAAAGTTGGAACTGCTTCATGTTTCAGTAACAGAATCCGGTGTTGAACTCGTGGAGATTCTGGAAGCTGTCTTTCGTAAAATGCGCAGCACAGAGAGCTAGATTACGATCGTCATTTTCAGGAACATAATCAAACATAAATTGTATCCATTGTTGACGAAGTACAGCGTCCGTGGGAAGTTCGAAGACATAAGACCATGACAGCTGCGTGAACAACACACTCGACGAGCTGCTGGAGCTGCTGAAATATGGCCATGCCCTTTCCTGCATATTCCGGAGGGAGTGGTTGATGCAAATGTGTGGGTTAGTGACGTACCATAACCCAGCTGTAGTCCCAATCGAATCGTTTTTGTAGGCAATATACTTCCTGATTTTTAAAAGACGATATCTCTGCTTACACTGAACTTTCAGCACTGCAACTTTGCAGATACTGTTCATGCACCAACAGCAGCATTACACACTATTTAAAATGAAAAAATGAAATCGCAGTCAACCCCCCCTTTAATTCTTTTTCTCACCAAGACTGCATTTATTT